CATTCTGATGATTCTAGAACGCGCATGCTGGTATGATGGTTTGGGAATGCGTACCCTGCTAAGTCTGATTGGTTTAAGGCCGTATGCTTTGTTGGATTGATGCCCGAGTGTTGCGGCCTGTATGATTAGGCCCCCATTCCCATTGATTCGACTCCTTGCCGATCAGTCTCTATACAGGTGATACTTTTTCAGTCCTTGTGCAAACCAGGGCTGGGCCGGCGACCGGCCGGTCGGGCTGCCCCGGTCCAACCGGGGTTCCGGACCGGCCCAGGGGGGGTCAACCGGCAAACCAGATGGCCCCAAAAAACGGCCAATTTTTTTTATTATTATTATTTTTTTAGCGGGATCCGACTGCGCTTGCCGAGATCTGTCGGATTCCACAATAAAACTTTGACGGTTGGACTTTTTTTTTGGGGTGTGCCGAGAGGGGGGGGGGGGAGGGGGGCGCTTGCCGAGATCTGTCGGATTCCGCAATAAAACTTTGAAGGTTGGACTTTTTTTTAGGGGTGTGCCGGGAGGGGGGGGGGGGGGGGGGGGGGGGGGGGGGGGTGGGCGAGGTCGAGAGTTGCGAGGGGGGTGTTGCGTTCAGGGCTTGCAGGCCTGCAAACAGCATCATGCAGGAAGAAGAGGCTGATACGTTGGCTATGGCTAACGAACGAGGAGGAAAAGAAGAGGAGGAGGAGGAGAAGAGGAGGAGGAGGAAGAAGATGACGAAGAAGAGGAGTGGAGGAAGAAGAAAACGAAGAGGAGGGAGGAGACGAAGAGGAGGAGCAGGAGGAGGAGGAGGAAGCAGCGCACAGGGAAGATGGATGTTCGGGAGAAAAAAAAAAAAAAAAAATGGCTGATACGTTGGCTATGGCTAACGGACGAGGAGGAGAAGAAGAGGAGGAGAAGGAGAAGAGGAGGAGGAGGAAGAAGATGACGAAGAAGAGGAGGAGTGGAGGAAGACGAAAACGAAGAGGAGGGAGGAGAAGAAGAGGAGGGAGGAGAAGAAGAGGAGGAGGAGGAGGAGGAGGAGGAGGAAGCAGCGCACAGGGAAGATGGATGTTTGGGAGAAAAAACAAAAAAAAAACGGCTAATACGTCGGCTATGGCTAACGGACGAGGACAAGAAGAAGAGGAGAAGGAGGAGGAGGAAGAAGACAATGACGAAGAAGACGGAAGAAGAGGAGGAGGAGGAGGGAGAGGATGATGACGCAAAAGAGGGAGGAGAAGGGTAGGAGGAAGAGGGGGAGAAAGAAGACGACGAAGAGGAGGGAGGAGAAGAAGAGGAGAAGGAGGAGGAGGAGGAGGAGGAGGAGGAGGAAGAAGAAGCAGCGCGCAAGACAGATGGATTTTCCAGGGGGGCGGGAGGGGGGGTGGGGGGAACGGCTATGGCTAACGGAGGAGGAGGAGGAGGAGGAGGAGAAGGAGGAAGAAGATGACGAAGAAGAGGAGTGGAGGAAGAAGAAAACAAAGAGGAGGGAGGAGGAGAAGAGGAGGAGGAGGAGGAGGAGGAGGAAGAAGCAGCGCACAGGGAAGATGGATGTTTGGGAGAGAAAAAAACAAAAAACAAAAAAAAAGAACGGCTAATACGTCGGCTATGGCTAATGGACGAGGAGGAGACGAAGAGGAGGCGGCGAAGGAGGAGGAGGAGGAAGAAGACAATGACAAAGAAGAGTGAAGAAGAGGAGGAGGAGGAGGGAGAAGATGATGACGAAAAAGAGGGAGGAGAAGGGTAGGAGGAAGAGGGGGAGAAAGAAGACGACGAAGAGGAGGGAGGAGAAGAAGAGTAGGAGGAGGAGGAGGAAGAAGAGGATGCCGAAGAAGGGGGAGGAGAAGAGTAGGAGAAAGAGGAGGAGGAGGAAGAGGAGGGGGTTGAGGAGGAGGAGGAAGAGGAAGAAGAAGAAGAAGACCAAACCTTAACAGTAGGGGGCGCGGTGGACTCGTCAGTTGGGGGGGGGGGCAACGACGAGACTACCAAGCGATGGTGCGGCTGGCTGGCGGGCGGCCGACGACGACGCTCTCCAGCTGCGGGTCGACGACGACCACCCTCTCCAACATCGGGAGGGGGGGTTGCGGGAGCAGACGACGACAGCGCTCCTTCCGATGCTTCGAGCGGGGTGAGCGGGGTTGAACGACCAAATCGTTTTCCCCCGCTCACCCCCCGACACTTCCCGCGTCCAAGTTTGAAAACAGCGGCCGATCTTGGCCGCCGATCTGCGACGATCAACAGCCAAGATCGGCCGCTTTTCGAACAAGGAAAAGCAGGGCCTGCAGGACCCGGTTTCCGCATTGCGGGTGACGGCCTGCCCCCTCGGCGCCTGAAAAATACAAGCCGACATTTTTTTTTGAGGCCCCAGCAAAAATGCGCTGGGGGCAACTGGGAGGGAACCGGCCTGGGGCACCGGCCGGTCCAATTGGGAGGACACCAGTCGGGGTAGGGCTCCCCGGTCCATCCGGGGACCAGCCCTGGTGCAAACGGTATTTTCCTGCACCTATGGTATCTGCGCAGTCCAGCCCCAGTACAAGCGTTATTTTATGACTGGTCCCTACGATTTGCTGATCAGTCCGCCGTGATGATATTCGTGATCCCAGTTCTCATATCCTAGGATCCACTTGCTGTGGAGAGACTTTTATGATATCCCTATACTGAGTTGCTGATTGCTGTTCAGCAGGCCTATTCAGGCGAGCCCTTAGATGGAGTTGCTGATTGCTGTTCAGCCGGGCCTATTCAGGCGGGCCCTTCCATTGAGTTGCCATTTGCTGTTCAGGCGGGCCTATTCAGGTGGGCCCCTATATCCAGTCGCTGATTACTGTTGAGGCCGGGCCCTTTCAGGCGGGCCCCTATATTAAGTTGCTGGTTGCTATTCGGCCAGGCCCACTCAGGCGGGCCCCTATATCGAGTTGCTGAGTTGCTGTTTGGTCGGGCCCATTCAGGCGGGCCCCTATATCAAGTTGCTGGTTGCTGTTCGGCCGGGCCCCTACATTGAGTTGGTTGCCGCTGATTCGGCTGGAGGGTCTACTGAGTTGCTGCCCTCTCAGACGCCATTGAGGCAGGTTTACTGACGGTGGATTTTCCTACAGTTTCCCTATACAAAAAAAAAAAGAGTACACGCCATCCTATAGTTTTCCTATACAAAAAAAAAAGAGTACATGCCATAAAGACCAAATGACAGAAAAGAGATGACGCCATAAAGAACCCATGCCTCTGCAGGGTAACAAGGAGAGCGACATAGACGGAGGGTGGCATACATCATTGCTCTAGACCCTCCCGAAAAGAAAAGGAACAAAAAACATCCTCTTTTTTCTCGATTTATGCGCAGGGGCCACGCTAATCTTTATACTGTGTTGTTCCAATTTTAACGGATGTTTAACTGTTAAACAGTGCTCCTCCCCCATTCAGAGAGACTTCAGGGGAGAGGTCCCCCTAACAAAAAGGGATTGGGTTAAGCGCCTGCATCTGGATGGATTCCGAGCAGAGATGCAGAAAAACAGATCTATCCCCATTTTCTGCACGATCCCCACAAACGCATCCAGAGTGGGGCACTAAATCCAATCCTCTTTGGCAGTGGGACCTCCCCCCACGTGACAAGTGAAATCACACCTGCAAATCACACCTTCGAACGGCTTCGATCTAAACACTGTGAAAAAAAGAAAAGAAATAGAAGGCTCTCGACATAGAGCATGCAAGAGTACTGAAACCGCACAGTAAACAAAAAAAAACAAAAAAAAGGAGGATGTACAAAGCACATCTTCTGCCAGGAAACTGGGATGACGCAGGTACTAAGCAGGAGAGCAGAAGGGCCCTGGGAGGCCTCAAGTATCAAGGCACGGAAGGCATGAGGTCTCTGGGATTGCCTTCAATCGGCACAAAGATAGGACAGGAGGCTAGGAACAACAGGCTCGTTTAGGCGCCCCGTAGCAGGGTGAAGAGGCATCTCTCTCCACGCATTTCGTTTTTCACCTCACAGTCAATACCCCTGGGCAACCACAGGTAATCAATGCTGGCGGGTTTTGCTCATGTCGATCCACTGTTATATAGGGACGCTGGACCCGACTTCCAGCAGGTGCTGCTCCCCACCAATGGATGGAGTCACCTGGGATGGCTACCATGAGGGGCTGCTCTTACCACTCCCCCTAGTACAGGTCACAGGCTGCATTGCAAAAGAAAAAAGAAAAAAAAAAAGAGCATGCAACTGTACCAAAACAATGTTGGTCCGTTCATCCTGTGAACAAGGGTCTTCTTGCTTTCCAGAGATCGGGTTAGGCGTGCTGCAGTCCACAAACTCAGACAAGCAACAGTGGTAGTGTAACCCACCTGTGCCTGCAAAGCAGTACAGCAATCAGTTTGCTCAGTGAGCCAGATATCAAGCAAAGGTTGGGTCGTCGACATTCCAATGCACCTTTTTTTCTTGAGCTGCCACTTTATGTTATATATCGTCGAACAGAGCTGCCCGGTAGAGGGCAAAGAGGACAACAAACAAGGGGCTGTGAGAAAACTGTTTCATCGGAGTGTCACCGACTCCTCATGAGGAGGCTGAACCCTATATATATCACAAAATGCAGCTGTCCGCTAACTCGGACACAGAAAAGCAGCAGTAAAGAACCAGCCTGACTGCAAAACAGCGCAGCACTCGGTTTGCTCAGGGGACCAGCTGACATTGCCTGACAAGCGAAGGTCACCGACAAGTCAACGCACCTTTTTCCTGGAGCTGTCACCTTATGTTGCAATATTCTCGCTCTTAACGGCAGAAAGCGCTTTAATACATTTTACAAAAGCCAGAGTCTCATACAAAAAGAGTACAGTATATTTGAAATGTATTACAGCCCGGACAGTACAAAGCACCAGGAAAAAGGTGACAGCCCGGACAGTACAAAGCACCATTACCGCCGACAATGAAGTGCCGAACCTATTTTTCTTTCTGCTCTTTTCTGCTCCCAAACGAATTGAACCGCTCCCCACCAGGCCAGAACCACTTCCCGCTTGTATGCGGCCTAAAAAAGTTTCAGAGGGAAGGGCTTGTATTGATGGCTTGATTGGCAAAATGGCACAGACCGCATATAACCCTTTTCAATCGTAGTTTAGCTTCTTTACACAAGTTTAATCGATCCGCACGCCCCCTCTTATTCTTTCGTCTCAACTGGTGGCCACTCTCTCTCTCCCTCCTTGGTAAATTCAACTTCCCTATTCACCACAACGACCAGGCAGTAGCATGCTTTACACAAGTTTATAACTCAAAAATCCGCACCCACCCTCTTATTCATTTATTGCAGCTGCTGCACCCTCCCCCCCGCCCTCCCTCCCTCCCTCCTCCTATCCCTCCTTGGAAAACTCTAAACTCCCCTATTCCTCTCAATGACCAGGCAACAACATGGCGTATTCTCCATAATGAAAGAATGTGATACCGAAAAAGCTAAAAGAAAAATGCGGAAAAAAATCACCAAAATACATTTGCTGCTAGTCAGCACCCTGCTCCAAAATCGACACCTCCATCCTATACAGTTATCTAAGGCATAAACTACCATAATATCTGGCACCAAGAGCAATCTGTTGTTGTCGAACCCAAAATGGTGGCTCCTCTTCATCAGCATCAACCCCGCTGTGGATTGCTTAATGCAGCACCTGACAATCTCTAGCTCCTTGTTCCTCTTCCACCAGCACATTACCTTTCCCAAACTCCGCACTCGGCGTCATGATCATTGGCCACCAATGACCTGTTTGGAACATAAAATGCAGATTCCACAACCCATCATGTCCACAACCAAACAACACCGAGGAAACCTGAGCAGCTCTCCCACCGTTCACATCATGACCACACCTGCAGATCCCTTAAGTCCTGATTCGCTCGTACAGCTAAAGACCGTAGAACTCCACCTACTCCACTAGAAGCTCGTTCGACCACCCAATCTACCAGCCACACAGTCACTTTCTCTGCCCGCCCACGCAACAGCAATATACTTGCTGTTCAAAGCCCAATCCAACAGCAAAAATACCAGACTATTCTCTTGCTCATACATGTATTGGCCATTTGCACAGTCGATGCTACGGACTATTACACACTTGCAGCCAAACGCTTCAACCCACATTCAGATTACCTGGCACAGCAAGCACTACACAGTATACTTGTGGCAGGATGTTTCACCACACATTCAGGTGGCCTCCCACAGCGAGCACTAAACAGTAACTCTTCCCTCAGTGGTTGAAACATCAGTCCGCCTCGTTGCACTCCCCTATCCTTTCACAGCCTTTATCGCACAACAAGGGGAATGAGGTGGCGCTTCACCCAGGAAGCACAGTTTGCCTGTTTGCCTGTGAACTGACTGTGAAACCCTAAGGAAAACCCTGTGCGAAAGAGGTGTTTCCGTGCAAATACTGACCTGGACTAAGCAGGGGAGAAAACAACCAACCACAGGTATAGTGTTGGCCATTCGTACGCTGCTACATCTTATGTCAACTGTTCCCTTGCTTCTCGCGACCGTCTTTGACTTCTCTGTCGCGCGAAGGGATGGAATACAGAACACTCTAAATGCATGAACACATGCACGAAGGTCACGTAAACCCCATATTTAGATAGGGTGATAACAAAAAAACACGGTATAGATCAACCCAGAAGATGGCCATGGTCAGGCACTCCCCACCACAGGATTGCCAGAAGGGTGACTGGCTTCAGAATCCAGGCAATTCTCATAATGACACCTAGACCTCCCACCAGAAGCACTTCAAATGGCAACTAACTCTGAGTTAATGTGTTAGCCACCTGCTGAAATATAACCATGCCGAAGCAAGAATCCACCCATCCATCAAGTCAAGTGGAAGCAAAGAAGCATGTACCAGTGCTCGACTCAGCACAACTCAGCCCAATTGAATCCACCCAACCACCCATCCTCATGTCCCAGACTGAACTCCCGTTCATTCAGCACAACTGCAGATGAACAGGACCGCAGGCGGAGGGGGGTAAAGAACACAGAAGAATCCCCCCATGCACGCATCCATCAAGCCACGAGGAAGCAGCGGAGCATGTACCAGCAGCGCTCTTATGCCCCGCTCGCCATTCCCGGGTCCACCTGCGGATAAAGGAGGGCCACAGGAGGAGGGGGTGAAGAACGCAAAATAATTTCCCCCTTGCACTGCCAACACTTCAGACGGATGCTGAACTCCATCACAGGGGGGCCATAACTTGCGCAATCGAGAGAGACCAACACTCAGATCAGATGGTACGTACAGACCGTGCTGGAGACTCATATCATAGCGAAAGTGGGCGCCATTTTCTCAGGTACATCTCCTTGGCAGAGCAGTGCAGCCACCAGCCTGCAGAGCTGAAGACACTCAGAATGAGTGGAGCACATTATTCGCCAAGGAATCATGTTGAAATTTGCAATATGCATGGGCAGTACAAAACCCCAAAGAGCCCAAACACGTCCAAATCTCAGTTCCATGGTCCCTTACAGCATACAAGGCCAAGTTGGTGATACCCGGTGGCACACATAGACTCGCAGTAATTTGCAGTTCAAGGCAAGCTCAGGCTGCAGAGTTCACCGAAAGCCTTCCATGCAGCAAACCTCTCAATTTCAGCAGAACACCCTTCTATAGCCCTGGTGGAACAAGGACAACCCCGTCGGAAGACCAACGGAGCAAAGGAGCCTGCTACGGAGCCTTCATCCCAATGAAGTAACACCATGCAGATTCAAGCTTCGAGGCATCTTAAACCACCAGTATGTTTCCCAGTCAAATTACTTCGACTAAGTGCCGCAAGCGCTGCATCCTTCGGGATGTACCGGCCTGCCAAGCAGCGCATTATTCATCCAGGCAAAACAGGGCCGTGGCACATGACAGTTTTGCCTGGATGAATTTGCCTCCTTGCAGCAGGCTGGTACATTCCTGAACACGCAGCACAAGCACAGCAGCATCTCAGAAATTTGCATGAAAAAGTACTGGTGATTTAAGAGTTCAGGAGATGGCTCTGTAATATATATACATACACGAATCGATAAGCCTGAAGCTCCCACGATCATCACCACACAGGAGATGACCCAAGAGTCAATAAAGAGTGTCGACGTCCCCCAGCAACAATCAATAAGGAAATGACCCTAGAGTTTATGAATAGTTTCACCGTTCCCCAGCAACAACGGACTTGCTGCTCTCACAACACTCCTCTGCCAAAAGTGAGTGAAACATGGGCTCCGTACAGAGAGCACCAAGCAAAGAGAGTCGTCATGCAAGCATCCAGGAAGAATCCCCATCTCCCGTAGAGTCCTCTGCGAGCAGTCTGTGGCCAGCCTCTTCAGCGTGCCATGACATCCAAGCAACTACAGAGCTACTCTTGCCTGCGCAGAGGAGTGTCTGCTTCCCACAACACAATCCACTATCATATCAAGGCCATGCCACACCATCCTAGCAGCTTCAGAGCTACTCTTGCCTGTGCAGAGCACTGGCTGCTTCAACACAACACAATTCACTATCGTAAGGTCACGGAAGAAGTGACCTCGCTGACTGTACTGTACCCACGCTAAATAATTCAAGACACCCGATTGCACTGTCAAATGATGATTGGCCGTGAGATTATTGGTTGACATAGCAACCAATGAGTGAGAGCCTTCAGGATGAGCGAAGAGGAGCCAAGTGCAAGAGGACAACGATAAGCAATGGATGGAAAGAAGAGGAACGGGAAGACCAAGTGCAAGACCATAGTTCTCACCCTTCAAAGAGGGTGGATATCGAAAGACGAATCACTATCAAAATATGACTCAGCCTGCATATCAAAATATGATTCCACCTGCGTATCAAAATATGACTCCACCTGCAGGACAGCATGGTGGAAGAGGGAGACAGAACAGGATGGAAACTACAGGTCAGGAGGAGATATGGGGATGCTATAGCCGATGATGGGCGTTATTTACATGATGATGATCAGGAACAATTGATCCAGATCCAACAATTTAACAATTATATATAAATCGGGTCCAACTATGAGGGCCGGAAATACGCCAGGCATAAAGGACAGCGGCATCAGGGAAGAATAAACATCGAGAAGGTTTGAATACCACAGGCTTTCCTATGAAAGAGAAGCACTGAAGGGGCCACGGGGGAAAGGTCAGACAGAGAAGAAAGGAAAGGAGAGAGGGGGGGAGACGGGCCAAGTGTCGATGTGATTTCAATCGGTTCAGAGACAGGGAGGGATAAGAATTAGCTGTCACTAGGGCATTGGACGCAAGCCATGCCGACGGATCTCTAAGAGAATTGCTTGTTACAGCGTCATTTATCCACAGTTATGGGTATCCCATCTCCTATTGAAGGGATGCACTTGGTGTCAACACTTCCGTCGAGTTGCATTCGCAAGCCATGCATCAGCAGGCAGCACCTCCCCCCCCTCGCCTCGCCTTAACTCGAACACCATTATCGACAATGGACCCGGCCCTCTGCTACAGTAGTCAACCTGCAATCTGTCCCATCTACCGACCAACAAAATCATCATACTAATAAGAACTGCTCGGGACCAGTAAAATCATAAGCCCCAAATCACCTACAAGTAAAGAAATCCACTACACAAATCAATGCTAACTACGAAACAATACAGGACCATCATATTAGGGGGAACACAGAGACGGAAGAAAAACAGCAAAGAATAATGGTTCTAAATACAAACAAACCTATGAAGAGATTCCCTTCTCCCATATATACGTGCCAAGACAAAGAGCTTTGCTGTGGTACTACTAGCATAAGCCCAACAGTCCCCTGTGGTGCAAAGGATGCTGACAGATTCCTCAAACGCTGTTTAGATGCAGAAGGGCCATCTCTCACCATAGGAGGAATGAACAACGATTAGTCGGTTAATGCGGTGGCCTTAACTACCGGTAGTTCTTGGGTCAGGGAGGAAAATCAACCGAGCTCTTGAGAGGGTTGGGGAAAGACCAACGAATTGCCTCTGCTCACGGCAAACATGAGCAGGCACAAGCTACATACAGGAAAACGTTCCCATGGCAACCTCCTCTAGCACGAACGTACATTCCCTCTGAATCTCGGGCTTAGTCGCAGGCCGGCTTTTATGATCCTCTGTGACCTTCACTTCGATTCATCCACCAGCAAACAGGCTACGCAGACAGCCTCCGCATTGATGCCTTTGTTATACACCAGCTCTTACCAGTAGTACACGGAGGGACCTTGGATATCTCCAGCGCAGAAACCCATCCTCTCTCTCTCTCTCTCTCTCTCTCTCTCTCTCTCTCTCTCTCTCTCTCTCTCTCTCTCTCTCTCTCTCCCCTTCCTTGCGTCGAACAACTGACTCCTTGGTGCACTGGACCACATGGCCTCCTAGACCCTCCAACCCTACAGTCGTTTCCAACAATCACAGGCATGGAACTCGGCTGATATACACTTTCACTCTCGCTAAAAGGAATGGAGAATTGATTAAGCGAACAGGAGTCAGGAGGGAGAATAGACAATACCGAGGTCGTACTATAGCTATCCCCACGGGCAGGCAAGACGATGAACTATAGTCATAGAAATCTGTCATCGCCACCCAATGCAATCTGGACAAAGTTTCTCACTATGAGGCCTTCGTAGTCCCGATGGTCACTCTCAAACAACACTATTCTTCTCTCTGTACCTATCAAGATCCGTTCCACGTTCTTCACCGCTATATCCCTAACTTGATCACACACCTCCAACCGTTTCTTTCTTCCCATCTCCTCTTCCTGAATCTCCTTCCTCCCAATGAACCCCCGCAATCTTCTCCCCATGACATTGAGCAACCCAGGGTCCCGTCTTCCTTCCCTATCGACATCATCAAACCTTCCACTACTCACTGGCTGACACCCATTGCACCCATTAGCGGCAGCAATGATTGCATCTCGTTGGCAGATGGCCAACCTCAGAGACGTTCTATCACAGATCCTTTCCAAAGCCCCGAAATGCAGGGCCCAGTGTACAATTAGGTCGGAAGCAAGTCGAGCTCGGTGGGACCCGACTGTGCGGTCATCTTTACTTACGCCCGCCAAATCAGCCATCAAGCTGCCTTCTCGAGGTCTGGCCCAAAGCAAGGTACGAGTGGCTGAGGAGTACTTCGACCTCACACGCGACTCCTTCCTGACGGCCAGCTCCGCAATCGCAAAGGAAGCATACATCATCTGTTGAAAACAGGCGCGGAAAGCCCACAGCGAGGGATTCTGGTGCATAACTTTCAGCGGTAATTGGGAATTGATGGCTTCCGCCGTGCCCATGGCACCCAACCATCTCCTCTCCACACCAGTCATGGGAGCAGACGGCAGCTCAGCGAGCAGGTCCGGCACCAGATTCAACATCTTCTTCCTGACGAGCGCAGCATCTTCAAGATCTTCCAGCGCTTTGTCGCAATCCCAGTAGTATCGCATAGACTCACCCGGCGCGGGGACCATCTCTTCAGATACTAGAATACCCTCTCCCAGCATACTCCCCTCTACGCTGGATCCTGAAGTTATGCTGACGGTCCCGTTACTCCGTGCCAAACTGCAAGTGCTGCTGCTTCTCGTCCTCATGAACCTGCTGTGGCCATACCGCCCCTGCCCCTCTTCATCAGCCTGGCTCCTGGAGGCCGTGGTCACAGTGCCCACAGAATCATTGCTTACATCACTGTTAGCAAAATCGTATTCAGGAGGTCCTCGTCTCGAGCTCCGACCACGTCCCCTTCCCCTCTCCTCCGTTCCACCACCGGACCCAAGGTCCGACCAGCTGTCCTCGCCCCGCGAATCTGAACTGACTCGTTCCTCCGCATCCCATTCTTCTCGCTCCTCCTCCTCCTCATCCTCCTCGCCTCCTGATGCGTCCATGCGTCCTCTTCTTACTGGCAGCATACGCCCAAGCATACCACCAGCCCGTCTTCCGCCTCCTCCCCCTCCTCCTCCTTCCCCTTCTCCTCCTCCGGCGGCTGTTTGCTGCAACATTCTTCTCCCACGGACACAACGGCCCTGCATCGGAGGGGGGGACGACGGCGGTTCCTCACCGGCCCCCCCTTCCTCGCCGCCGCCACTGCAATCCGATCCCCCATGAAGCTCGTTTGAGAACGGATACCCGCTCCCCGTGTCGCTGTTCGACCATCTGGCGTGCGATCTGAAGACGTCGCTGGCTTGCGCTGCCTCCGTCTTCGCGGTCCCTCCCTTGCCAATATTCGAGACGTCCGTCTGGAATCTGACCTCCTGCATTCCCAAACCCGCCGTTCTGAACCACTCTGCCCCATGTTTCTCACCGAGCTTTTTCAGGCGGTTGGCAGGAAAACCGCAAGATTGAGCGGCAGCAAAGCACTTGGATGCCTCTTCGGCCGAGGGCAGAACGCCTCTCCCATACGAATAACAAAGGCCCAGCAAGTAAGACGCTAAGCCATCGGTATCGCCCCTCGAACCTGCCACTCCCTGCAACCACACAACGCCCTCGATGTCGTCCTGCACTTCACCAAGACCATTGATCAACACGAAAGCGAGCTTGTAAGTCTTCTCGCATCGGCGTCGCTCGTCTCCTTCCTCGCCCTCACAAGCCTCAATCTCTTCCTTCATCCCGATTATCTCCTCCTCTGTCAATCCCCCGAACCGGATGGTTCGGTCAACCACAGGGGCCATCGTCTGGCACTCCTTCACTCCTGCCACGTAAGCATTCCTGTGGCCTTGGCTCGCTGCAATCTCCCAGAAATCCGGTTTTGTGAACCCGGCTTCAGGATGACCCATCGCGGCAGCCTTCGCCATGTGCCGCTTAAACTCCTTGTTGTCTCCCGCCGTCTGATAGTACAGTCCCAGCTTAAAGAGAGCGGCTGGGTTGTATTCCGCCGATCGTCGATACCATATAACGGCTTTTGTCCAGTCCTGTTTGGGAACCCCTCTCCCGTACTCATAGCACCTGCCGACGTGATACATCGCCACGTGGTTGCCGTCCGTGGCAGCCCTCAAGTACAGCTGGAAAGCCATATTTAGGTCTCGTTGTACACCTCGTCCCAGTTCGTAACACCTGGCTAAATTGGCAGCCGCACCAGTGTTCAAGTCCTCTTTCAGATCCCGAAGAAATCGAATCGCCGGTTCGAGATGGCGGTCGTCAAAAGGACCGCTTACATCCGGCGGACCTGTCATCAGCGCCGCCCAGAAACACGCCCATGCTTTGGCCAAGTGCCGCTGCACGCCGCGCCCGAGCGCGAAGTGCTCACCCACCTTAGCTTGAGCATGCCGCGCGCCTTGACAGGCTGCTCGGCAATACCATCCCACGGAGATTCGCAAGTCAAGATAAACGCCGAGGCCGTCGCCATAACACTCGGCGATAACCATCTGGGCATCGACATCGCCGTTCTGAGCGGCGACGCGGAAAAAATGAATGGCTGGAGCGAACATCTCCATCAAGGACTCGCGGTCCTCCTCATTCCTCCCTTCCTGTCGGGCTTCCTCCATCAGCGCTCTCTGCGCCGCGAACGCCTTGCGATGCCATCGCGCCGCGCACTCCAAGTTCCTGCGACAACCACGCCCTCCCTCATAGAACACGGCCATCTTCAGCATCGCACGTACGTACCCCTTGTTGGCGGCAATCTTGTATTGCGCGGCTGCGTCGGAAAGACACACATCCAACTCCCCCAACCCATACTCGTACGCTTCGCCAAGCTTGAAATGATCCTCGGGCACTTTGCTCGCCGCCCACGTGCATATGAGAGAGTCGGGGGTAGGGCGTGGGCCTGGCGCACGCGCCTCTCGCCCATCCCGCTTGCCGAGATCCCTCAGCAGACCCAGTACCATCATTTGCAACCGAAACAAAGATCAAGAGGGGAGAACAACAGACAGAAAATATGGCGGCGAGGCTAGATGCTGCTCGCTCCCTTCCCCTTTCTCCTACCACTCACCTTCGCGGTCGGGCCTCACTCCCTTCCTCCTCACTTCTTTCTAAGCCCGTCTTCCACGCAACCAGCACTCTCGCTGCTGCCGCCCGTTCCTCCTATCACCCACCCGCGTTATAGGACAAGTTAAATAACCCCCTCCTCCTCCTCCTCCTCCTGCTGCTGCTCCTGCTCCTCTTTTACCTGCCCAGGCCCGCCCAGCAACACCACTTGCCCTCCGCCTCTTCAACAGTTGCGTGCGCAGACTAACTCGTCGGACACTGTGGGACAAGTTACATAACCCCCTCCTTCTCCTCCTCCTCCTCCTCTTACTCCTCTCTTACCTGCCTTCGCCCGCCCAGCAGCATCACTTAACACCACCTTCGCCTCCGCCTTCAGTCAGCAAACTAGCTCGTTAGGCACCTTCGATCGTCATCTCCAAACGAAGGAAACGACCAGGTTCGGCAGCAGCGGCAGGCTTTTGAGATACGCGCGCGCAGAGGCAAGTCGAGTCGCTCCGGAACTATCCGCCAGGCTGGCCGGAGGAAAAAACGCCGCTCTGCAAGTCGCCACTGGTCGGGGCAACACCAACACCGAAAACGACGCTCTTTCCCCTTATCGTCGTCGCTTTGGCTTCGACTAAACACCGGTCGATCTCCATAATCATTTCACGGAATAGCGCGTAGAGGGAGGTTGTTCATCGAGCACACATCTTTCTGCAGGGGTAGGTGGTTAATCAAACAAAAAAGATCTCTTTGCAAGGTAGGTTGTCCATCAAACGACCATCCTGGAACACAAAAAACGGGGCAAGGTTCGTCTTACAGCCGTAGACCGCAGTTTACACGCGATGGGTCGTTTGCTGCACGAATTGCGAAGTGTTCAATGGGTGCCGACGACGAAACTGCAAACGAGACTGATAACATACTCACAATAGGACCTTTTCGACTGCGCTCTGGACGTAATTCCGGTCGGATACATACGGGTCACGCCGTAATTCCGGTCAGATTCATCGAGGAAAGTCCTAGTGTGAGTATGCCCTGAACCGTACCCCGCCGAACAGCTCTCTCTCTCTCTCTCTCTCTCTGTGTGTGTGTGTGTGTGTGTGTGTGTGTGTGTGTGTGTGTGTGTGTGTGTGTGTGAACCCGTCCTGAACTCAGGATAATCCTGCCAGCATTGCCTAGCTGAGTCAAACGAGTGTGCCAGGCGTCACCTCCTCGATGTTCACAAGTGTAAAAGTGAATGAACGCGATCACGAAAACTTTGGCCAAGCAGAATAAGTGAACGTAATGCGAAGAGATGTCGAAACAGCAAGAGCTCAAAACAGCGAAGAAAAGCGAAGTCTTTCAAAAGCGAGAGGACGTCCAACGCTAAGCTTGGCTCGACTCCGCTTGCGCTTGCCTGTATAACCTTTTCAATATGTAACCCCGATAGAGACGATGGGAAACGTGGAGAGCAGAGTGCACGCCATCGCCGCCCTCGAGATCGTACCACCACCTGCACTTCTGTAACAGCAATTGGCACACACGTATAGACAAAAACCGGAAGTGGTCAGATACGACCAAACGTTACGTGAAACACTCAACAAATGTCTTTCTGTACATTACAAAAATGTGAACCCTATTTCTGGTCTGCGAAACAAAGAGAGAGAGAGATGGAGAGAGGGGAGAGATGGAGAGAGAGATGGACAAAGATGGAGAGGTACGGACAGAGATGGACAGAGATGGAGAAAGACGGACAGAGATCGAGAGATGAAGAGAGATGAAGAGATGGAGAGGAGAGATGGGGAGAAAGAGAAAGAGAGTCAATTGTATGTATGTTTCTGACATACTCTCACTGATTCTCAAACGGATGTATCTATCTCAAGAGACAGAAGAGAGGAAATTACCACCAGTTGATCCATTCCGCAGTTCACCCCCTCGCCAACCCCGGAATACGTCGCGACCACGGCCACGCCGCACCCCCTCTTTTACCCCTTGTTGTACACAAATTAATCGCCGTTTCTCTGTCAACCACACTGCCTACCTGCCTACATTTCTTTTTCCTCTGCATTTAAACCGTCATGGCGCCCACTGTTTTCTACCTAGTTCTCCACCAGTCCACTCTCGCCCCTCCGTTTCCCGCTCACCTTCAGCTTCATACCCGCCCCCTCCCCCCTTGGCCCCGGCCCCCCCTGATGTCCTTCAACCCCTATTCCTTCCTGCTCGGCTTTCGGTTTCAAGCTCTTTACCTCCTCTCTCCTTGGCCCTCCAATCCCAGCCATATTCGGCCTCCCATTCCTGCTCAGTTTCAGTTCTCAACGTTCTTTCCTTCTCCGCTCCTTCCAAATTCTGGAAACCTCCGGTCCTCTCCTTCCTCACAGCCATCGCCGTCTCCTCTCCCTTCATTCTACTCTATTCTTGCACTTTATCCTCCTTTCAACCCCCTCCCCGCCATTCTTCCCCCGAACAGAATGCACGGTCATTATCGCTGAATCAGGTCTGACCTCTCCTTCCTCACAGCCATCGCCGTTTCCGCTCCTTCATTCTACTCTCTTCTTGCACTCGATCCTCCTTTCAACCCCCGCCCCGCCTCCTTTTCCCGATTACAATGCACGGTCATTATCGCCGTCTCTGGTCCGGTCCTCTCCTTCCTCACAGCCATCGCCGTCTCCTCTCCCTTCATTCTACTCACGTCTCTAGTCTTGCACTTGATCCTCCTTTCAACCCCCCCCCC